GGCTTTCCGCGGCCAGCACCCTGACCAGGCAACAGCCATCAACATTAAGGCCAGACACGTCACCACCCAAGATTACAACTCACCGAAGGCTCAGATAATGGTTAGCGCTTTCTACCAATAAAGTATTTTTCATTTTTGAGATATAATGCTATTGGACACTTAATAGGGTGCAGTATAGTGTAAACATAACTTTTATAGGCACTGAGAAACCAGAAAGTTCTTGTGACTTGCTTTATTGCAGTAACTGCTTTATGGCGTTAGTCTGCAACCAGACTCGCAGTATGTCCAGGGTCTGTCTGTACTGGGCTTCTGTGATATCAGGTTCGGTGAATTTCTCTAATGCTCTTTGATTTGCGAACATTACTCTTCTTGTGTTAGACTTAACACAGTATATCGTACTGGGTGCTTATTAGCCGTTTGCTAACTGAACTTTGAAGACTGGGAAGAATAAGGAACATGGAGTTAAAGAACCTTTTAATAATCAATAGAAATAGCAGATTATAATAGAGTCCACATAGATTTTTGACACAAAATGGAGTTGATGACGTAAACAGAGAGAGGAAATTGGTGTGGCCATAAATGCCATCTGGGAAATGCAGATTCCATGAAGTAGTAATGGGGACCCACTTCTGTCCAGGGGAACGAAAAGCACCGTAGGTCCAGCAGGTCCTCGAATAGCATCGTTTCTTACAGCGTTGATGAGATGCCAAAGGAACGTAACTCTTGTTCATATCAATTAGCCTGTGGTGAAATTGGTTTTGTTTTATGCTGTTTTGCTTAAAGTTGTAGAACCTACCAATGATTTTAAGTAAGGACTTACTGTATTTCAACATAGAGAATTAATAAAGGAATTGGTTAAACAGGTGTTGGGAACTGAAAACGGAAAAGGAGACAGGGTGTAAAGCAGATTTAGAAATGGCAGGAAGCAGCTATCACTCCAGGGCTGGAAGATGAGAGAGAGAGATTGGTACTATTATTAGATCTCAGACGCTCGAGAAAGTTCTATGCTAAGGTGGAGCTGAGACCACTGACGGTGATGCTCGGACCTCAGGAGCTCGGAGGAGTGGACGGACACGCTGGCTGGTGCTGCAGCTCGTGGGCACGCGCGGGAACACTGGGTCCAGAAGTGCATGCAGGGAGGAATCCTGGAGTCTGCAAGCAGCTGCCTCTCGCAGGGCGCACAGCTGAGAACAGCTGTTGCAGAAGGCGCCCCTTCCACCCCAGCTAGGTCTCCAGGCTCCCTTTAACGCCCCTCCCTGTGACCTCGGTTGTGGGAGCCTAACACACCAGCTAGCAACGGGGCAACGTCACTGGAGCCCCAGACCCAGCATTTGAAAGCATACAGCAGGTCAGTTTGGAACTAAGTTTGAAGAAAAATATTCTGAAAACGTGGGGGGGTGGGTAATTTCTCTACCAGCTTTCCAGGGTAAGTTGGGGTTAGTAGACCCCAGATGCATATTCAGCTGTCCGCCTGACATCTCCACTTTGGCGTTTGAAACAGGCATTGCAAGCTTAATATTTGATTCCGTATCGCTCAGCTGTTATCTTCCCATTAAATGGAGCCACTATATACTTTTATTGCTAATCTAAAAACCTCATTATCATCCTTTAATGTCTCCTTTCCCCTCAATCTGTACATCCAGCTGGTCATTAAGTCCTGTCAAGTTAACTTACCTTTTCTGTCTCTGTTATTACATCTACTTCTGTCCAATTCATCTTCTTCCGTCTTCTGGACCGGACTAAAAACTCATTCCTGGTCTCTTCATTTGCCTCCAATAGTAGTTCACAAAATAGCAGAATGACCCTTCAGAGACACATCCTGTTAGGTCACCTCCCTGTGTAAAATCCTCTATTTAAATTCAGGTCAGTGAAGTTCTTTGACAGACCTTTCTTTAGCTGACAGGCCAGATGCAAGTGATGATTGGTGTTAAAATTCTTTATAAATTTTGGTCACTCTTCCTTTTCTCTCTTCTCTGCAGATGTCTTGTTCAGCCTTGTTCTACAATTGTATTAGTCATGTACTTTTTTTTGTTTGGAAAATCTTTTATTCTCATTTCACGTTTATAGAAAAGAAATAGTCAGTTTTTTAATGTATTGAGCAAGTTCACTTTTGGAAGGCATCGAGGCAGTAAAGAACAATGGTCATTGATTAATTTATGGATACAAGTCATACAGAATTTCCTAAAAACAAAATGACAAAATAGAAAAGACGAGGTAACAGATGGCTGTATATGATTGATTCCCCCAAAAGGAACCACACGGGTTTAGGGAAACGGTACAGAACATGTGGAAATAGGGAAGACTGCGCTGAAGAGGGCTGTGGTCTGCGCTGTCAGAATAAGGTGCCCAGCATGTTCAGGGTCATGTATAACTTGGAGGCAGAAAAGCACAGGTTTGTTGTAGGGGGCAGGGGACAGATGATTTGCAGTGGAGGAAAACATTTGCAAATAGGGCCGCTCGTAGAAGTCATTCAATGCCTTGAATGCTAAGCTGGAGCGTCTGGGCTTTTCTTATAGGCAGTGGTTCAATTATCTTATTAATTGACACATTTTTAATGATTTGGAAATATTCATACTTTTTTTCAGTTCTCTATTATGAATTACGTTGTTGTAATGAGTTTTTTAAATTTGTGCTTTATAGATTTTATAATACCAAATGAACATGATTTTCTCCATTTCTTATGTGAGGGCTTTGAATTCAAAAGATACTTCCACTTAAAGGCCCCGCAGCATTGGAGCAGGTGTGACGAGGACTTTGCACAGGCCCCCCGGTTGGAAGCCACTTGTGCAGTGTGACCTTTAGTGACCTCGGACCAGCTAGCGACCTCCCCTCTCTGAGCCTCAGGATGACATAGTACCAGTGCCACAGATCTGCTGGGGAGCAGGATGCTCGCGCTGAAGGTCTGACATCTGGTCCTCGGGAGGTGGAACAGCACAGGGCAGTGGACCTGTAGAGACGCTTCCAAGTGTTTGCTATATTTGTAAACCTTTCCGTTTCAAAGGAAAAAATGTGCATTATAATGTTTTAATAATCTTTACATAATGTTTCAGTGTTACATATGTTTCAGAGGTAAAGGTGTTCTTCACAGTGTTTTAGTAATCTTCACATTGTTTCTCATGCGAATATTAGACACATACTCATCTGTCCCCTACGAGCCAGCCAAATTCCACTCTTAGATATTTATCCAAAGGAAATGAAAAGTTGTGTTCATAAAAAAAGCTTTGTACAAAAATTTTCATGGTAGCTTTATTCACAATATCCAAACTCTAGAAACACCCAAATGTCCGTAGCAGAAGAAAGGATAAATATAATATCATTCAGCTGTGAAAACAAATTAAGTACTGATACAGGCAGTAACAGGAATCATTTCAGAAATACGCTGAGGGAAAGAGGCTGGACACAACGGAAGTGGATAGTGTGCGATTTCGTTATACAACATTCTAGAAGAGGCAACACTAAACCGAGGTGACGGGGGTCTGATCAGCGTTGTCTCGGGGACTTGGCCGAGAAGAGGAGCAACGAAACGCTGAGTGGCAGAGACGTCGCGTGTCTCGATGTGCGTTCATCAACACCGACTGTTGCACTGGGACTCAGAGTCTCATTGTATACGAGTTACAACTCGGTGTTTTAAACGTAGAGCAAATACTGAAGGCCGGCCGAGTTGCGAGGCTCTTAGTGACCACTGTGCTGTGTCGTCAGACAGCATGCCACGTCCTTCGCTTCCTTTGTCAGAAGTGGGGAAGTCGGTGTTCCATCTCTGTAGGGGTGTTCGAGCAAGTTCTGCAAAGTGCCTTTCGAGTCGTCTAGGGTAGAGACGTATGATTTCAGGGCGCCACCCCGGATCAGCTTGTGTCTGGGAGAGAAGAGAAGGGGTCAGATGAACTCTGGCCCCATAGCCAGCGATGGAACGTAACTGGAGTGCTGGTAACTTACGAAACCAGCACGTTTTCTGGTCTGAAATCATATTAGAGAAGGAGGCGACGCACACCTTCCCCAGCGCTCAGGCAGGTGTTACTCTCAGGTCCCACTTCATACGAGCCGGGCGAGGGGGTCGAAGTAACCTCTCCTCTGTGAAAGTAAGTCTGTAATGACCTCTGCCATCTCTTGAGACACACAGCATCATGCTCTGTGAGTACACAGCGGCTGGGTGGTAGGGTGCCAGGGTGACGTTCAGTGCAGATGGCACCGCCAGGTTAAGATTCCAGCTTTGCCAGCGGAATTCCGTGCCCCGCTAGGAGGCGCTAGTGTAGCCTGCTGCGGTGTGATGTAATCCAGTGTGCACACTGCAGTTCATAATTTGCAAGTCACAGTGGCCTCTTGAGTGACGTCATTATGACATACGCCCCTGACGCTGCCTAGTAAAAGCTGTGCTGCTCTGGTTTTATTTACCCCTTGGGGGTGGGGGTCTCTGCTGATGTCACTACGTGCGTTACCTGCACACTGCAAAAGTTAGGCACGTGCACGACGTCCCCTGAGGCGCGCACGTGTGTCCCTCCCGTTGTCTTTCTCTTCGGCTGTCTCCCGTGTTGAGCACCGTGTCCAGCGGACAAGGGCGGTTACTTGGTTTCCACGTGAAGCGGTTCAATGAAGACACGTGTCCAGGCACCTCTTCTCTGTACGGGGCTCGCACGAGGCATCGTCACGTCCCGTCTTCCGTCTTAATTCTTAATTCGATGACATTTTCAAACGTGTACTACTTGCTCTCTGTGGAAGACGACCTAAGGCGTGTCTATCGTTTTTTAATTTATAGAGTGCGAGTTAGAGACTACTCTGGTATTCTGTTACGTGTATGTGCAACACATGGAGATGCCGCTAATGGCAGCTGAGTGTCCTGTGAGAGGACAGGCTTCAGTATGTCAGAACCTTCGCGTCCCTGATCTTCCTTTCCGGGTCGAAACAGGTGGCTGCAGTCACATATCTATTTTTAGGCTCGCGTAGATAGGCCGCGATGTATGTGGACCCTCTCAAGTGCGCACTACTCTTGTGTTTTCCACGTACAGGCAGAAGGAGAGGACAGCCTGAAGAAGATGCAGCTGATGGAGCTCGCGATTCTGAATGGCACCTACAGAGATGCCAACATCAAATCACGTAAGAACGAGACAGGCCCCGGGCCACAGCTGTCTCAGCCCTTCTGCCCTCAGACCTCTCTCCTTTGGCCTCACAGCACATGAGCAGCTGAAGTGACAGGTCGAAGTAACTGTCACTCGATACGGGGCTAGCAGTCCCATTTTGACCGCTTTCACAAATCGAGGACACTCTCTCGATTTTATTTTACGCCAGCGTGCTTTAAGTTTTGAGTTGATAAACGTCTCCTCTTTTGATGAAATTTCAACTTTAAGTTCAAGAGTTTAAGGGAATTTCCTATTCTGTTAACCACAGACTTAAGACTTCTAGGTTATTTTGTTACATTTATGAAAAGGACAAAACAATTCCAAACTTTTTAAAATTGACTTGGAATGTGAGTGCAGTGATCTTTTCGTTGGGCTCTGTTCTCTCTCCTCGCTTTTATGTTTTCCCTTCAGTATTTTTTCTCTATTGATTTTATATGTGAGTTCACAGAGAACAGTAGGAGATACGATTTTAAATCCATTTTTTCCTTTTGTGTATTTATGCGTGTTTTCATAAACTAAGAGGATTGCTTTTTATATTTAAAACTAAATATGGAATTTATATTTTGAGACAGTCTTAAGATTTTCACATTTATATGAATAGAACATATTTAAATTACTAATTTTTTAAAAGAAATTGAGTTTTGGAGTTCTAGCCAATTTTCCAAAATGTAGAGAAACTGGTGGGTTTTTAAGTCGTTCCTTTCCAAGCGGTTGGCTTCAGTTTACTGGTGAGATTGACTATATCGTTAACAGTCACGTGCTCAGGAATGGCACGTTTACTGTGTTGTTTTTCTGTGAAGTTAATTCCTACATATGCAGGAAATTTATATATAGCTAGTGGTTACTTGACTTAATACGATGAAAATTATTCTTTAATTTGAAACTGAAACTCCTCTTTAGAAATATATCACAACTGTGTTTCTGTGGACTCCAATTAAAAAATGTTTTTTAACGTCCTTCAGTGCAAGTGTTTCCTTGTGCTTCTGCATGCACCTTCAGTCTCATGAGGTCTTAAAAACAGATATGTTTAGTTCGTGTATTTGATAAAACTTTTTAATGGTCTTGCTCATTTTTTTTGCACAGTGGCTTTTTAATTTTGTACATTTGTTAATCACACTGGGAAAGGGGAAGCTGTTTGCATTTGGTTGGTGTGCTTGGGCATTTCGTGTGTGATCGGCGCATGTACTAATGATTTCCTTTTATTTTTCCTCTTTCCTGCTTTTTCCTTTCTCTTTCCTACTTCGCTCTCACTTCCTGTATTTTACACCGCTGCCTCTGTGCTTCCTTCTCGATTTCTCTGCTTACTGTAGCAGCCCTTGCCTTTTCTCTTGCAGCAACAGCCCAGGCCGCTCCCCGGATTATCACCGGGCCCGCGCCGGTCCTCCCACCAGCTGCCCTGCGCACGCCTACGCCGGCCGGCCCGACCATCATGCCTTTGATCAGACAGATCCAGACCGCGGTCATGCCCAACGGAACTCCTCACCCGACTGCTGCAATAGTTCCTCCGGGGCCGGAAGCCGGCTTGATCTACACGCCCTACGAATACCCCTACACGCTGGCACCAGCTACGTCAATCCTGGAGTACCCTATCGAACCTAGTGGTGTATTAGGTGAGTCGTTTTCTCTGTAGGGTCAACATTTTTCTGCATAACTTTTGCCGCCCCAGACTTTGAGGTCGTTGTGTTAGTTTTACTAAGAGGCAAGACCAGCTTTCAGGAGGAAAGACCGAAGGCTAAGTTTGGTTTTATTTCAGCCCCCCGTAGGCGTTCCCCTTTTCAGTAATCGTACCTTAGATTCGTTCATATTCCCTTCGGTAACTCACATTCACTTTGGATGGAGAAATTTGCTATGAACATTTTAAACAGGAAGCACTTTTCACATTTGATATCTCAGGTCTTTCTGAGTTGTGGATCCCACCCTGTGGCCTGCTCCCTCCATCAGCTTTGCCACCCAAAGTTAGTCTTTTTTTGTCTCACAGGTCTATTTAATTGTCAGCTAAATTTTAACTTCCTACGTGAAAGTATCTTGAGATCTTTTAAAAACTGCAGTTGTGTCTGCGTTTTCTAGTATCCGTGATCACTTAAAATATGAACGGGTCCCAGTAAATAGTAAATAGCTGCAGTCTTCAGGCTGCTTCAGGTTTTCTGTTTTGAAGTCCTAGTCGATATCAAACATAAGAGAAGTTCTTAATTCCAGTAGCACAGTGTGGAGAGATAAGTGAATACCAAGTCACTGAGTTACACTCACGCCGAGGCAAGAGTTAGGGTCACGCTGTAAACGCCCGGTCTTACGTGAACAAAGTGGTGTGCTCGAAAAGACGTTACTGATGCCTTTGTTTTCTAGAGTGGATTGAAATGCCAGTCATGCCTGATATTTCAGCCCATTGACTTGCGGGACGGAGGACTAGAATACAGCAGCTGTTTTAGCAGGACCGGTCAATGCGGAGCAGGCTGCCTCCGGGCCGCCCCTTTGTTTTACAGACAGACCCGAATACTCTGTCCTTGAATTGTACATGACCTTGGTGCTGCATGCATGCTGTTGACTTTTAGGACTTTGATCTTCTAAGGTTTTTCTCTGCAGCATTAATACTGATTTATCAAAATTTGAAAGCCTTTAATGAACCCGGACACAAAGATTTAAACTTGAACATTTACTGTTCGGTGAAAGCAAGCCGCAGTGCTCTGTATGTTATCTGTGTGTGCGCATGCACTCAGCTGCCTTCTGTTTCATGAGCGAACACGTTTTATTGTACATGTTTTCCATCGATCTCTAGATCATTGTGTAAAGTATTACAGGTCAGAATTATACCATAGACTTGTTTACGAGAGGCTTGTTTCTGTTGCACATTTCCTGAAGCATTTTAAAAATAACATGTAACATGTAACCCGTTTGCGTCCTCCTTGCCGTTAACGCTCTGTCCTGTGGCCCCACGCCTGCTGCTTTCCCCCAGAGCCCCTCTCTGCTGCGGCACAGCGTCTGCTCCAGGAGTTCGGCTGTTGCTTCCTGCAGGGCTGGCATTCTTAGCCACCAGCTGCTGTTCCCGCTCTCTCGATGCAAGATCTCACTGATTTTGCCTCGTGGAATTATACTTGTATAAGATTAGTTTATCTGAAACAAGAAAGGGCTGATGGACCCGTTTACTGCTTAGAAACAGCAAGAGGCACTGCTGCATTTGTTTCTCATTTTAAAGCAATGTGTTTTTTGTTGCGTTGGGAAATTTTTAGTTATAATACTTCTAAGACTGACAAAATTCGAAGCAAACTATACCGATACCTCATTGGCTTTCATAAGATGAAAATAATGAGTCCTAAATGACAAAAATCCATCACGATCCACTTTATTTCTCGCTTTGCCACCTAAGCAGTAAAACATACTGATTGACCACTTGGAGAATTAAGAAAATTATTTCAAATTGCTAAGCTCTAGCGAATTTGCACACAGATAACATGCATGCTATATAGCAAGTCTCGCATCACACTATCTCGAAAGAAGCAGTGCCCTTCAAAGCAGATGCAGACATGTGTGTTGGTGGTAGTGAGGAGATTGGTGTTACCATCAAATCTGCATTGAGACTAATTTTTAATTCCCTTCCTTTTATCTTTAGGTATGGCTTTCCCAACGAAAGGCTAAGAATTCAAGAACGGTCTTAACTGAACCCTCATCAGATCTGAATTTAACAAATGCTTAGTCTCAGCAGCCTCCGGGGAGGGGTGGGAGGGAAGCCTAGCCTAGCAGTCAGTGACTTACTTGCACTTTTTGCACACTGATAGAAAGTAAAAGTATGTCATTAATTTGGTTTAGTCTGTAATCTTACAAAGTAACGGTAATTTATAAAGGAGTGTGTAGTAGTATTACTGACTGCTAAGTGTACTATACTGTTTGCTTTACTAATCACCTAATTCATTGCAGTTCATACTTATTGACTCAGAGTTTAAAACCACAATCTGTAGGCTTTAAGAATTGCTTTTAAACCTTTTTAAGTGATAAACTGTGGAAGTGGTCTTAAGGTTAGGAAATAATTGTCAGTATTAAACATGGCATTATTTAAGTAGTCCTGCGAGAAAGGCACTTCAGTGAATATGTGACTAGTAAAGCTTAAATATGTTTGGATCTAATAGAATTCATGCAATTCTGTAACTTGGGATTGTAAATGAATGCATCAAATAGGTTAAGGCCAAGATGTGTGAAATGAATGCAATATTAATAGACGCATATATACGCAACATATTATGGTTAATTTTAAAACTACTGTGCCTTAACGTGTTTCTTAAAACGAGCCTTTTGTCGAAATGAACATCTGAAACCCGTTTTGATGAACCTGCTGTTGATGTCTGTTTTCTTTCCCGTTGTGACTGTTTTCTAACTTTGTCTTGGTGATTGCAATTTAACTAGGTGCGGTGGCTACTAAGGTCCGAAGGCACGATATGCGCGTCCATCCTTACCAAAGGGTTGTGACCGCAGACCGAGGTTAGTGTAGCTCTGCGGCTCTCGCTTCTCAGAAACGCGGGGGGTGTCCGTACAGTTTGCAACACCACACCTGACAGAAAAATGTGTAACTGCTTGCCTGCACAGCGTTTTTTTTTCCTTTTCGAAATTAATTTATGATGATTGACAGATTTAAGGGTTGGGTTTGGGGGGGGGGTTTTGTTGCTCTTTTTTTCTCCCTTCGTGTTTTAACTTATTAAATCCTTCTAGGATGTACTATGACTTAGTCCTACTAAAACGTGAGTTAGTCCACTTGGGGAGCTATTAAATTTTGTTTTTGCCTTAATTATTTTTCAGTAATAATTTTTGCTAAAATTTAGCTTTTAATTTTTCTGAAATTTTGGGTTGGTTTTGCAAAATGAACTGAGCGGATGGTGCTTTAATGAGAGAAGTAAGGGAATATATGCCTCCTGTGTTCTTTCGGAGAAAACTGAAGATTTAGTTTCCATACATATTTGAGCCACTTGTGTAAACATGAGGATATACATGTCAAGTATTTAGCTGAGATCAACAAAGTACGGACTGTGAAGCTAACTTTGCAGTTGGATTTTTATACATCAGAAAATTCCATTTTATTCTATTTTGTTTGAAAATGGATCTTTTAATTTTTGTCATTTGCTGCTAAAATATATTATCTAAAGGTAAACTATCTCTTGAAGTTCTGTGGTGACATGAATCCAGCTGTTTGAGTACCTTTTTTGACTAACCTGTGACTGGAAAATAGGTCTTCATTTTTCTCCTTTTCAACATTTGTAATTTGTGTCCTATATATGCCCTTGGACCCTTTTATAAATTATTTATGTTTATTAAGGAGTGATCTTTTCGGTTTATTGACATTGATATTTTCCGAATTCGTCATCACGAGATAGGAATCCAAAGCAAGAACGAAAAGGATATTTGACAAGCTTTTATTGTGGCACATTTATTATCTACTAATTGAGTTGATCAGAGTCTCTACTGTTAGCGGGATGAAGTGATGGATTTATACCCCAGTTCTTCCATCTTTTATGGACTTAGGAAAAACCTCTGTTTTGCATGGTTATCTTGAATATCGATAATAAATATCGGACGCAGCTGTTGTCCACATCAGAATGAAATACCTTTCCAAAGATATCGATGATATTTCTTTAGCCTCATACATAATTAAAGAGCCTTGAAGACTTCTAACTAATACACCACTTGTAGTGATGATTTAATGAACAAATTAAATAGACCCCCAAGCTCAGCGATTACCCGTTAAGATGATACTCGTGGCAGATGTGTCATGTGCAAGTGTGTAACCACCCTTCTTACACCAGAGCAAGTCTCCTAGTGAAGGAAGAAACTTTTTTAAAAAGGAAAGTCATTTAAAGAATGCAGACAATTCCATAATTTGAAGGGGTTTTTTTTAAATATTGTTAATGTCTAAAATAGTTTTTCTTCTTCTGTTAACCTTTCCTTGTATGCCCGTTTTAGATTTCTCAGAATTTTGTTGTAGCACAATAATTATGGGCCTACTCAATACTCCAGTGCCTTGAAATAGTTGAAAATAGTAGGAAGATTTTATTGTATTTGAAAACAACAGCACATTCCATGCATGGCCCTTCTGTAGTTACATGTGTTTTGATTAGTCCTGTCACTGGTTTTATTCAAAATGCAATGTCAGCAAACCGAAATGCTACCTTTTTTTTCTAAATAACAAAAGTTTGTGTACTGCTGTTACTATCACTGTATGCACTCATTGGGTCTAAGGGAGGTGTCTGAAATCCTTCACTTAAATTATTTTATGATACTACTGCTTTCTCTATTTTTGAGGGGTTTTTTTTTTTAATTATTTTTTAATCTTTTGAAGGGAAGTTTAATATAAGCATTCATTTAATGCAAGGAAACTCAGCCCTTGGACTTATAACTCTGTAATTCTGTATGAGCAGTTAGAATACTGCATGTGGACAAATATCTAGTTCTTTACTAAAAATAAACCCACCTCTACACATATTTCAAACCTGAATTTGAAGCCTATAAAAGACCAACTGACTTTTTAGTCGTAATGAACCATAAGTGATTTTGCACGGTTGACACACCTGTGTGTACTGTAAGAAGCCAGGACTTGGCAGAGGATGTATTCTAGGTGTATTGGTATATATATAAATAGTAGTTTGCTTCGTTTTTATATCCCACACTCAAAAAAATCAAATTTTCTGAATAATGATTTTCCAAAAACCATTATTTATCTAATTTGTATAAGAAACGTAATACAATTTTAGTCAAAATTTTAATATCAAAAATGCTTTAAGATTCCATATTTCTGGAGTACCTATGGAATGGTATGACTACATCATGTTAAATATTTATTTTCTTCTTTGATTTTGGAATAGCTGTTTTTACTTTAAATAAAATTCCACTATTTTTAAGAAATTCAGGGAAGATTTGGTCACACTGAAGATACAGTATTTTTATAGTATTTATAAACTGTCCTAAACGATAGACTGTAGGAAGCATTTTTGTTACGTGAAGGTAACACCAGTCCATGATATAGACCATTTAAACTCTGTGAACATCACACCTCCTGGGTTTGATTTACGCAGCGGTCCAGAATCTACCTTTGCACTGAATAATTTTCATATCTCCTCTGCCTTAGTCACAGTGGCAACAGTACAGAAAAGTCTATCAAACCTCAGAATATAGTGGAAATAATTAAGCTGTTGAATGAGTCTTAAAAATCATACTACTGTTAAGTGGACCAAGTTTGGTGAAGCAGATGTGACAGGTCGATTAAGGAAGGAACATCTCAAGGACCTTGGGGACGATAACTTTTCCACTTGAGAACTACTTTATGTTTTACTGTAATTTTTTAAATTTTTTTTGTTCTGTTTGTTATTTTGCAAAAGAAAATAGTATTTACAGGTGGCTTTTAAAATATATAAAGCA